ACCTCAGCTAATTTATATTGACACACCGAGGTTCATTATGAAAGGCAGACAGGGCAGGAACCCGGAGTCAGGAGCTGATGTAGATAGAGGTCATAGAATTTGATGCTTATGGCTTGCTCCTCATGGCTTGTTCCAACTTTCTTATAGAACCCAGGAGCAGCAGCCCAAGGGATGAAGCCACCCACGGTTGGCGGGCCCTCCCCACTGGGTCATTAGTGAAGGAAACTTCACATCATCTTAGCTACAGCTGGATCTTATGGAAGCATCTTCTCAACTGAAGTCCTCTCCTCTCAGGTAACTTTAATTTGTGTCCAGTTGACTTAAAAACCAGTCAGCACAAGCATTGTTTTCTATGTTTGCAAAATGCATAAGATGCTGAGAAGGGTTGACTTGATGTGAATCGATTTAGTTCTGGTAGCTTCTTGGAACGGAAACCCAGTACAGGCTACAATGAGCAGGGTTGGGAGGACTTTCTGTAGATGCCATGTTGCCACAGGGCCAGTGTGGCATAAAGGAGAATAGTCATCAGAAGCTTGTGTGGTCTTTAGAGTAGGAAATGGAACGTAAATGTATCCATTTGCTTCAAATTAAAACAAAATTAGTAGTAACAGACTCTGAAAAGTGGCCTTTCATCGGCGGTGGAGAGACAGATAGCTCAATGGTCAAAAGCACTTGCTGTTCTTCCTGAGTTCAGTTCTCAGCACCTACATACATGGTGGCTCACAACTGCCTCTAAGTACAGTTACAGAGATCCAGGGCCTTCTGTCTGCTGTGGGCAACAGACATGCATGTGGGACACATACATACATGCAGGGAAACTCTCATACAACACGTAAAATAAAACTAAGTAAATCTTTAAAAAAAACATAATAAGTAACTTCTCTCATGCACTGGCTCATCAGAGCACAGGACTCACTAGAGCTAGGTTATCCCTCCTCAGTTCCCGTGGCCTGCCGAGCGGACGTTATGTCTTTCCTGGTGAGCTGTGTCTTTGTTGGCTTCAATACGTTCTTCATACTTATGCCTGATAGAATCATCTGGGACTTGGAAGTCAGCCCCACTGGGCACGACACATCATTGCTACTTAGCGTGCCCTAGCAGCTTAATTACACTACAGAAATATAAAAGCAATTAGCTGGGAATATTTGCAAAATGAATGCAGATTAGCACGCTGCATAGTTAGAGACCTGTCACTCAGGTGTGTGGATATGTTGATTTTTTCCAATGGGCTTGAGGAACAAAGAAAAATTATCTGCATTTCATGAATCTAGTTTATTCCTGGCTGAGATGGTAAAACATCCTCAGGGGTAGAGGGTTTATTTATAAAATTAGGAAAACACTCACGTTTGGAACCATAATGCCATGTGTGAAAAGGAGATTTCAGAATAGTGAAAAATAAACCAATATAAAGACAATTCTAGGAAGCCTAAGGGCTTTAAAAATATATTTTTTATTAATTATCTGAATTAATATTATTATGTATTCACCTAATACATTTTTATTATACCTCCTCCTCGTGAGTCCTTTACTTCTGGGGTTTGATACTATTGAGGCTGTGCCTTTACCAACAGCCTCTCCTGGCCTCTCACCAGCCAGCACAGACCTCTCTCCATCATGCTCCCGAGCCTTGGAAAAGAGCATGATATAAATTTTCTATTTATGGCTGAGCATTCCACATACACTTGTTGTCTGCACCTTGATTAGTGCACTAACCACTGTCCAGTGCACAAGGACACTTCTCTGATGACGTCCAGAGATACACGAATCTATGGGAGGGGGAGAATACAGCCCTTGCTAAGCTGGCTGTGCCCTGGTGGAAGGCCACACATTTAAGAATATTGGGGCAGTACAAACCGTTCTTGGTGGGTGCATAAAGCGAAGGGAAAGCTAAAGCTAGAACTGTAGTCAAAAAAGGATTTTCAAGGTATTTCTCCAGATGTAAAGAGGAAGTGGAAGGCAGCATGCAAATACTTGCTGTGTCTGTAATCAACCCCTTCCACGCTTCTGTGTGTTTGTGTAAACAGGAAGAAAGACGTGTACTGGCCAATTACCAGCGAATTCTTCTCTGTCGGCAGAGAACTGAGGTGCTCTGAGTGGGCAGAAAGATGTTTTCTTATGTTCGTATAAAATCATTATATATGTTAGATTTTTCTATTCCAGTTTTTAACAGTGTTTTCATTGTGAATGTCTGTTTTTTTACAAACTAAAGAGGAAAATCTTTTCTACAAATAGCCATAACTGCGTTCCTTGAAGAAAGCTGACAGGATCAGGGAAGAGTTAAACATTCAAAGAACCATAATGACCAAAGACAAAATTTTTTAAAAAAAATTGACAGACAGGCATGCTAGATGCAGCAGAGAGGTTTGCCCAGGGATTCTCAGGAAAAAAAAAAAGAGCCAAGATGTGAATAATTGGCACACCTGATATTGTACCACAGGCTGTAATGAAACCTTAGGGCTTACAAGAGGACACAAATGGATTTTCCCAAAGAATAAAGACTGAGAAAGATTGATTATAAATAATAAAAAATTAGAAATACCTTGATCTGTTTACTTCAGGGACAAATAGTCCTTTGGACATGCAGCCTCTCTCTCCTCCCACACCACCAAACACAAAGCAAAACCAACATATAATCCCAACTAGTCATACATAGATTATTATTTTTTAATTGCTCTTGTGCATGATCAGAAGGGGAGACAGAATATGTCATCTAAGGTATTGTGTAACCCTTTCTCAGCTGAGTCTCTTCTTTTCGGGTCACTGTTTGCCTCAGGTTTTCCTCAGTGTGGTCTCTGCATTGTCAATACTGACTTCATTAAAGTAAGTTCTGCTGATACCCCCAGAACATCCACGACCAGTGAGCATTCACAATGCTGGTGTCTTGCTGATTGACAGGAGAGGGAGCCATTGACGGTGAAAGCCATCCTCACCTCAGTGGACATTGAGTTTCTTTCATGGTTGGCCCTTACATGGCTTTTTGACTGAGGAATAACATTTTACAGTCTTATCACCAGGAATATAACAAAATTGCACATCACCAGGCCTATTCATACAGTCCGCCCAGTGACAGAGGCTTGGGTGTCAGGCACCTTGGTAGTCTATTGAATTACTTCTTCAAAGTTTTCTCTTGTGACAGGATAGTTCTTTTACGGCCACAGACATCTTCTTGTCACAGAACTTACTCTGGCTCATAGCACAGAGTGGAAATGAGGAGTGTTATTACCTTGTAGAAGTTTTGCTGCTGCTGCTTGGAGACACACTCTGGCTATGTGCCCTGTGCTGGGTTTGAGCTCATAATCTTCCTGTCTCCGCTGCCAAGAGCTGAGATACAAGAGTGTGCCACCAACTCTGGCTCCTTGCAGAAAATTTAAGAGCTATCATACTGTTTCTGCATGTTTCCCTAAGGTCAGTCCATATAGGGGCCGCTTCTTTAGCTGGGATACTGAAAACAGACATGACTAAGTCCCAATTCAGCAATGCAGAGAGGCTCAGGGATGATACCTGTGAGAATACATGACTACAGAGTGCTTAGCCCCAAACCAGACATTTATAACAACTTCCTCACGGCACAGGGAATAACACCCAAGCTGGAGAAGGAAGAATGTGAGAACCAGGGGCTGGGGAAGAGCTGTGAGATGCTGTCTTCTGGACAGGACATAGACTCTGCACTCATAAGCTCACTGTAGAAACGGAGATGTGTACAAGATCAAGCTAATGGCATCAGGCAACATTGTGGCAGGCAACCCTAGACTTAGTAAGTTACAGAAGAAATGGTCACTCTCACAAGATCAAGCCAATGGCGCCAGGCAACATTGTGGCAGACAACCCTAGACTCAGTAAGTTACAAAACATAGAGGAGAGGGCACAAAGAGGAGGTGGAGACAAGCTGAGGGGTGTCGACGAGGGTGGGGGACAGTGTGAATTGGGGGTAGGTTTGATCAAAGTACATTATACACATGTGCAAAATTACCAAAGAACAAATAAAAGCTGTTCATCCAAAAAATACAATGTTAACTTTAAAAATATGGAGGACAACTGCTTACAAGTCCCTGAGGTTGAGGAGACTTACAATCTTGAAGCCGAGCATTTCAAACACATCCATAAAAGATTTGTGAGATGTTGAAGTTAGCGGGCAGGTATCTTTACAACACGGGTTTATAGAAGCTAGCTGCTTACAAGTCTCTACCTTTATGGACTTAAGTATTGGTTTTCGCATGGTCTGTGTGCTTTTCCAAAGGACTCTTGATTGATGAGAAACTTCTGGAGGGTAGCCAACGAATGGGTCATTGCAGAATAGCCCTCATTCACATGAGATTCAAGTTGAAGGTATTTCAGATGACCTTGAGTGAGGGTAGGATGACCTTGCCTGAGATGTGTTTAAATCACACTGCTCTGGTATACTTGGAACACCATAAGATGGGACAGCTGAGCCCAACTATTGGGAACTACCACACACACATGTGCACACACACACACACACACACACACACACAATCTATCTATCTATCTGTCTGTCTGTCTGTCTGTCTGTCTATCTATCTATCCATCCATCTATCTGGCCCAGTTGCTGGGAACTACCATATATATGGTACATGTATATGTATGAATATATATGGTATGAATATATATATATGATTATATATGTGTGTATGTATGTGTGTATATATGTGTGTATATATATTCAGACATATGTATGTATAAATGTGTGTATATACATACACATATATTTTTTCATGAAATGCCTTGAAAATATAAAGTCAGAAAATATTGTTGGTGCTTAGGATCACACCTCAGCTTGAGACATTATCCTAGGAGTTCTCCATGGAGAAAGAGTGGGCTGAGGAGAGAAAGGAGAAGGGAGACACCGAAGCTCAGGAGAATTCACTCCTGACTTTGTTCCTCCTTTGCCATTAAGTCTGAGTCCGACGGGGTTATCTATCTCCTCCAGAGCAGGAAATCCAGCATCCACCTGCACAATCCCACTGGATATATGGCTGAGATCACGGTATATTAAGGATCCAATTGCAGTTCAGTGTTGATGGTTTCAGCAGGTTGCAGCAGCTCTTCAAAGCAGAGAGACTGAAGTTTCCTCCTGGGATGACATCATTTGGTCCCTTGGCAACAGTGCTGGTGGAGGCAGAAGGAACTCATTAGCTGGGCCTTAGAAAGGAGCAGGAGGGGAGTAGACAAGGGTGCACTGGAAATGATACAGGACAGGAAGCTGATTCCCTTGTTCCTGGTCTAGATAGGTGGGTTTAAGATAGAGACTTCTGAGGGTTAGTTTTTGGTTCTCAAATTCTGGGTGGCCTTGAGGATGTCCCCTATTCCTTTCAGAATAGCAATGATAGGGTAGAACTAATTCTTACAAAACAAAACCGAAAAAGCACTTGTACACCTGCTGAAGAGATGGCTAAGCAGTTAAGAGCACTGGCTGTCCTAGAGGACCCAGGTTCAATTCCCTTGACCCACAGAGCAGCTCACAACTGTTTATAACTCCAATCCTGGGGGATCTGGCACCCTCTTCTGACCTCTATGGGGACTGCATGTACTGAGTGCACAGAAATACATGCTTATACATACTTAATAAAACAAACCCAAAATCTCAAAAAATATGAACTTGTACATGAATAAGAACAGGTGGCGTGAGGGCACTGGTTTTTCAGATAGAAACTAGAGGGTGGAGACGGCGTCAGGGATCACCGGTAGCCCAGCCTCTTACCCACCCTTGCCGTCTGCCATGCTGACAGGGACACCTTGACTCTTTGAAAAATGATACAGTTAAAAACAAAACAAAACAAAACAACAACAACAGCAGCAGCAGCAGCAGCAAAACAAAAAACAACTGCTGTGAGGTCATCGAGTCTGTTCCCACAAAATCAGTCTCTACCCTACCTCCTTTGCCACAGAACAAGCCAATTTTGCAGGTGAAAATTAGTGACAGGCAATGGAAGATGACCTATCACAACTACAGTGGCCTATGTTTGAACATGCTGTATGAAAGGGAAGTTACAGATCAGACAGGTCTGCAGGCTGGGGCAGCAGGGTCTGCTGCTATCTGCCAACAGATAGACAGACGGACAGACAGAAGGCAACTCCTAGGGAAGCATGGCTGTGTTTACAAATTGGTTTTTCTTTTCTTTCTTCAGTTTTGTCTGCTGTGTTACAAGTGTGGTCTTGACTGGGATCTGAGTCCTCTCCCTGCCCCTGGGTAGAGATGGGACATTGTAAACTGCCCAGAAAACCCTAACATCTTTATCTGTTAAAGGCTTTCTGTGAAGAACAAAGCATTGTCCTGGATTTAAACAGACCTGCCAATCACCTGGACAGGAAAACACTCCCCAGGAAAGGACTTCTAAACAATAGCACAAATACAAAGCTTCTCTAAAAATGTAGGTTTTTACATGGTCCACTTTTGTCTCTTGAGGCTGCTTCACTCTGTAATATTACGCTGCATATCTCACAGAGGTTACCAGGACCGGGGATCTGAGGTGAGCCCAGAGCAAGGGTCTAGCAGCAGTAATTTAGGACGACTCATGAACAGCCTAGGAAAGTGTTTTAGTTTCTAGTTATCTAGTAATATCTGAAAAGTTAAGATGCGAGGTTGTTAGAAATACCATGAGTAAGCCGGGTGGTGGTGGCGCACGCCTTTAACCCCAGCACTTGGGAGGCAGAGACAGGCGGATTTCTGAGTTCGAGGCCAGCCTGGTCTACAGAGTGAGTTCCAGGACAGCCAGGGCTACACAGAGAAACCCTGTCTCGAAAAAAAAAAAAAAAAAAAAGAAAAGAAAAAAGAAATACCATGAGTTTTCTCACATGACGAACAGTTAAGGGGGTATTGAAAACAAATGGGTGTGGTCTTCATGCTGGGATTGTACTATGGCTGTTTGCTCCAAATACAACATGACCACGCTATCTGCCTGTCTGCTCACCATCATGGAGCAGAGGTAGGCTTGTCCCAGTAGTCATGGCAACCAAATAAATGAACTAATACCATGAGAGCCAGGCCTATATGGCAATGGTAAGGGAGTAATTAGCATTCTCTACAAGAAGAAGATGGGTGAGGAAGGTCGAGAGGCCTTACCCTGGGATTACACCTACTGCGTTCTACCTCTCAACTGCATGTGACCTTGGAAGGATCTAGAATATTCGGCAGATAGAAGGGACTCTATGACTCATCTTCAGCAAGTCATCAGTGTTGTGAGATTTTTTTCACTGATACACACATTTTGAGGAATACCCACATTTCTATAAGGAAACTCAGTAGTCTCACTGGCTCACCAAGCAGGGCTGTAAGGAACTGTTGGCTCCCTATCTGGGGTAAACAGATATTTGTTCCCATCTCCCCCAGGAAAAGCACACAACAGTTAGATCTGATCATTACGAAGAGACCGTAAGACTACCTGTTGAACAGATTTTGGCAACAGGACACCACCTCGGTTGTGTTGCTGAGTATTTTGCCGCTCTCTAGAACGTGATGGCAGTTGATATCTACCGGGGTGTCAGAGAGGATGCCTGGAAAGGAACAGAGTGCCATTTGTTGTCACAATTTAACGAGATCCCAGATCTCCCCTTCTGTTCTCAGCCTCTCTATCCCATCCCACACATCTTGCTCCACAGCGTGCTGAGCCTGGCTCTGACTCTCAGCTTTCTGCTGCAGCATATGTTACACATGCAGCCTGGAAGCACGTCTCCCCGAACGCTTCCATCCTGTGGGCACCCGGGACAGGAGGGATGGATGACATACCTGCGATGCAGGCTGTCATGAAGCAGGCAATGGTGCCAGCGATCAGGGCTCTCATGGCTCCGGAGGCAATGTCTTGCTTTCTGGATGGAGCTATGGATGCTGGAGGAGAAAGAGGCATTTGAGATTAGGTTGGTTAGAGACCCGAATCTGTAGCTTCTGATAATTCTTTGGTGACTGAAATTCTTTGGTCAATTGAGAAGAGACAAGCTAAAAGATAAACCGAAAGGACCCACAGAACACTGAGAACACAGCAAAGCCAATGGGTTACTGGGAAGAATCAATCAACGAGATGATGTTTAAATTAGCTTCCCCCATCTATGTCTACACCCAAGGCAGACATCAATAATCGATGACAGCACTCTGGTCAATTGAGAAGAGACAAGTCAAAACATAAACATAAACATAAACATAAAGGGACCTGAAGAACACTGAGAACACAGCAAAGCCAATGGGTTACTGGGAAGAATCAATCAGTAAGATGGTGTCTAAATTAGCTTCCCACATCTATGTCTATACCCAAGACAGACATCAATAATCAATGGTGACATCTTCTACAGTGAACTTATATGGGTCCTAGACTTCCCCTTCAGATGATTGTTATAATTCTATGGGCACTGGTAACAAATGACTGACATTATCATTGGAGAAGTGTATGCTTGTACATATTTGATCTGAGTTCTTGAGTGTCCATGGGAAAACTGCATTCCAGAGCAGGGATAAAACATGGACCCTAGAGGACTCAACTCCTGTAGAGGAGCCATTTTCCCTGACACAGCATTAGAGCAGGAGGGACTTGCAAAAGTCACTTCTGGGGTCGAGGAATGTCCTTTTCACTTACTAAGTCCGCCGATCACTATTCCTAGGGAACCAAAATTGGCAAAACCGCAGAGGGCGTAAGTTGCAATGGTCTCAGAGCGAATCTGTAAGCAAGCATAAAACACCAATCTGTACACGATCTGACCCATCTTCAGAAATCCAACATCCCAACCAGCCTTCACTGGCTACAGAATTATGTCAATGAATCAAATAGTCGACTATCAAATAACCATTGGTGATTCCCCATGCTCTTAGAATTTGAGGGGCATCAGAAAGAGGGACGTATGTTTAAGGAACACTTCACAACAGACTAGGAGTCAGTACCTTGACATTGAAAAATACTACTTCCTGCTCGTTAATGACTTCTTTTTTTTTTTTTTTAAGATTTATTTATTATATATGAATACACTGTAGCTGTCTTCAGACACACCAGAAGAGGGCATCAGATCTCATTACAGATGGTTGTGAGCCACCATGTGGTTGCTGGGATTTGAACTCAGGACCTCTGGAAGTGCAGCCAGTGCTCTTAACCACTGAGCCATCTCTCCAGCCCCTCGTTAATGACTTCTAATATTGCAAGTGACTTGATCACCTGCTGTATTATACCAAGCATAGCACTAGTTGCTGAAGGTAAGAAGTTGGCCCCAGCAAGTACTTACATGATGTTTGTCTGCCAAAGGACTTACTTAGCATATATAAAGAGCTGCTATAATTCAACAACTAAACAACTGCCCGAGTTTTAGATACATTGCTATGAAAGGTATACAAGTGGGCAATAAGAATATGGAAAGATGCTCAACACTTACCACCAAGGAAGTGCCAACCGCTACACAGAGAGCCAAAATAAATCTTTCTAAGTTGATTTATTTTAGGTATTTTTTTCAGTTAACGAAAAAACTAAAATAAAAAGAGAACTGACTGTATGCGATATATACTAGTCTGTCCAGGATGTAAAGCATCTGGGGTGCTTATGCATTGCCATTGTGAATGACACACATTCCTGGTGAACCAGCTGAGTCAACACCGTTTGCCTAAAAGCTGCCGTGGCAAACCCTCCATGACGGTTCCACGCGAACCTTTGATTTATCTCACGGACTTTGTAACAAAAATGAAAATTGATTAATACATCTACAGTGGGAAAAAATGATCATTAGTTGCCTATAGGTCTTTGCAGGGGGTGGGGGGGATGTAGGGGAGGTCAGAGGGTATTGTCTTTTAAGGCCCATGAGGGAAGTTAATTATATCAGTCAACAGGAAGCTCTGGGCTGTCAACCGAACTTTCTGGCAATTAGGGCCATCCAGTGTGCCTGCCTTTGTTCTTCAGCTGAGACAATCCATGAGAATGTGAGGGTGCTCATTTGCAAATGTAAGAGTGGGTGTCCTGGACTGGAGAGATGGCTCAGTGGTTAAGAGCACTGACTGCTCTTCCAAAGGTCTTGAGTTCAATTCCCAGCAACCACATGGTGGCTCACAACCATCTGTAATGGGATTTGATGTCCCTTCTGGTGTGTCTGAAGACAGCTACAGTGTATTCATATATGTAAAACAAATAAATCTTTAAAAAAAATTAAAAAAAAAAAGAGTGGGTGTCCTTTCTAAGACAATGGGAAGACAGTGAGTTAGGGGACGGGAGTGTGTGGACGAAAGGCTCTGCTCCTATTTATGGGGGGCTACCCTTAAGGGGGCACAGCCTGAGAAGTGTTGCTTGGGGTGAAGGATTGAGTCCAGAAGTTTCTGCAGATTCAGTGGGCACATCCAGTCTGGCAAAGGTATGGCTGAGGTCAGACTGAAGGCTGCTCTGAGTTACCCCACATTGTATAAAACAGTGGGTTTCCAGACTGACCCTCATCCTGAGAGGCCCCTGGACATACCAGAAATGATGTAGCACTCAACCCACACTCCATAGGAGACACCTGACACTTCAACGGGCACAGCGCACTAGGTTATGACCTGACAGGGACACGGGGGCTGGGGGGAGATGTGTGCAGTCATGGCTGTGTACGGTTCTATCAGGAGTAGAAAAGGAGGCTGGGACGACGCCACTTTCTTTTGCCCTCAGTGTAAGTGATTGTCCAGTGGAACACGACAGGCTGAGCTAGGAAGATGATGGTCTCCTGTGTGTGAGCCAAGATGCTCGAAAATTTGGAGTAACTTGCTTTTCCTCCTGCGACTCAACAATAGCAAAGGCAGCTGGGTTGTTTCCACATGCACCCTGTGTGCCTGCCTTCAGCTGGGCTCCCTCCCAAACGAAATCATCTCTACAGTCGGGGCTCTTCCTTCCCAACAGGCTTTTCAGAGAACCAGTTAGTACTGCCAGAACTGGCAGCTTGCTTCACTCATTAACAAAAGTGCACTTTCTCCTGGCGATGGGGAAGCAGAAAACATGTCAGTTAATTTAGCCTATTGTTTGCTTTGGGCAGGGAAACAAACTGGTTTAGGTGGCATCCAAACAATAAAGATAGCTGGCCAAGTCCCACTGTTACGTTTCCTGAAAGATGAACCGTGAGAGCAAAAAATCCACAAGGTCTATTCCTAGCAGATGTGTGGGGTGCATCGCCTTCTGACCACAAAACTGTTCATGTACAGATTCTCTCGGGGAGGTGACCTCACTTATAATATCCATATGTTTGGTCTTTGGGAGTCCAGGAGGTCAGTGGTGACCTCTGGGGTGAGTATCTCAGTACTGGGCAATGTACTTCAAAGCCGGGGACATTAACTCCAAATGGGTCATTTCAGAGAGGGACAGGGATGGTTAGAGATGTCCGTTTCTGAGTTTCTTTATGAGACAGTTCTGATCTTTAGAGGGAGATGAATTGGAGATTCAGCTACAAATATGCCTTCACCCAAGTTAAGTTCTTCAGTCCATCAAAGCCTAAGGAGACATGAATGCCTCTGTGAATGATTACAGGGTGACTGCCCCAAGGCTTCCGATCACAGACATATGCATTTCATCTTCCTCTCCCTTACACAGTAGCAATTGTGTCCCGTTATCTTTTGAGGATGAAGAGGTTCAGAGTGACATGCAGTCAGTTTCTTAGAGCTCATGATGCTTGAGGAGACCTTCGTGATCAGCTGTTGGCTCCAAGAAGGTAAAACCTGCCATATCTGGTCCCTGAATGTCCTCCAAAGACCTCTGTATAGATGGTGGGAGGTGACAGAATCTACAGGAGGTGTGACAGCTAATCTTTTCAACTTGATACATCCTTACCTGGGAAGGCAGACCCTCAACTGAAGAACTGTCTACATCAGTTGGCTTGCACCACATTTATTTTCTTTATTGTTGATTGATGTAGGGAGGCTCAGCCCACTGTGGGCAGTACCATTCCTACGCAGGTGAGCCTGGGCTGTATAAAAAATGGTAGCTGAGTATGAGCCTGTGAGCAAGCTGGTAAACCATGTTCCTCCCTGGTCTGTCTCTGTGTTCCTTCCCTTGGCTTCTCAGTGATGAACTTCTCTCTAAGTATAAACTGAAATAAACTTTTTCTTTCTCAAGTTGCTTTTGACCATAGTGTTTATCATAGCAACAAGGAAGTAAGCTAGGACAGGAAGTCAAGCCCAGGAAATTGTCCACCCTTGAGGGGGGACATTGGGACTTTGTTCCCTCCTCTTTCTTTCTACTTCCCAGCTGTTCTGTGGTGAATAGTCTTACTCTGCTACATGCATCCACCTTGATGAACTGGTTTGTACAGGAAGCAACAAGGCCAGTGGATCATGAGCTGAAATCATGAGCTCAGATAAACCTTCCTCATCTTAAAGTGCTTATCTTGGGTGACTAGCACAGGGCCTGTGATGGCCTCTGTGCTGTTGCCTTAGGCACAAAAGGATCTGATAAATCTTTGTGCACTGATGTCCTAGCCCACATGACCCTAGGTCTGTATCTACTTGAGTTTTTAAGATTCTCTCACTCTCTCCTCCCTTTCTCTCTTTCTCCACACAAATATCACATAGTCAAGATCATGTGACTGAAGAATATGCTGTGCTCATCAGGAGTTCTACAAGAGCAAGTGTTTCGATTGTTCTGTCCTGCCTCACTCAAGTTCCAAACAGACAGAAGAACAAGTCACAGTGTATCTATGTGACAAGAATTACACCTACCACCATATAGAATATAGACATGAAGAATTATACACACTAACATACATTGTCACAATGTATCTATGTGATAAGAATTATATGACATACAGAATATAGATATAAAGAATTATACATACTGACACATATTGTCACAGTGTATCTATCTGATGAAGAATTATATGACATACGGAATATAGACATAAAGAACTATACGTACTGACATATATTGCTGCACGCCATTCACAAATTTGGGTCCAGCCGCTTTCCTCAAGTTGATTAATTTTGAGAGGTGGTCATAAGCCACAAATTCATTGAAGAATGTCTTGTAACCTATGAGTTTGGCAACCATGAAGCTGTCTTGCCAGTCGACTCCCATCATGAAAGAGAAGGGCATGAAGATGTAGGAACAGATGAGCTGCAAGGGACAGAGGTGGTGACATTCATTAAACCATGATTGCCTTGAATTCTGCCACAGCCCCTCAGTGACAGGGTTGTTCCTGCTCTTCTGGGCGCAGGGAACCTGTTACGTTCAGTTGCCCATCTTGATGTATCAGGGGCGTACAGCTGGTCCTCAACAGATTGGTGTTAAGGCTTGATTTCCATGTAGTGATGTCAAAAGATACATGACTCTTAAAATCTACGAGTGCCTTTCATGTGATATTGCTTTATTCCATGGAATCAACTAATTTGAGAGAGTATTTAAAGAAGGTCAGCGGCTCGGTCCCCCCTTTCATTTTGAATGTGCCCTTTTCTCTTGTCTATGATGCAAAGTTAAATACACCTTTTATCGTTATAAGCTTCCCCATCCAGTGTTCTGTTATAGCACAGGACGCAGAGTAGAGCAGGTACTGGGTTGGGATTGGGTCATTGGAAGTAGCTTATATTTTTGGGACGAGGTCAGGAAAGAATGATTGCTCTAGGGGGAAGGGGAGGGTGACAGAAGACAGGACAGGAGTGGGGTGGCGATTTAGATGCCGTATGAGAGAGCACAATATAGCTGACTAAGAAAGGCTCACTCTGTAGCCTGTGATGGCCTTGAGCTCATGGCAATCCTATCTCAGCCTCTTAAGTGATGGGGTTAAAAACATGAGCCACCATGTTTGGCTTCTAAACTTATTTATAAACAAAGGTCGTCAGAAACAAAACAAGGAAGAATCAAACCTCAAAACTCAGCTCTGGGTAGTCGAACATGCTTCCAAACCAAGACAGGGCAGAGTTCACAAAGGAGAGCAAGGCCAGGAAAGCGATCAGATTCACAGCGATGTTTGCCACCAGGGGTATGGACGAGGATGCGCCCTGCGTGGCTGCCTCCAGGAGATTCCGTGAATCACTTCATCAAAAAATGGGAATTGTACAATTACCAGGGAGTATCTGTGGTGGTTTGCATATGCTCAGCCCAGGGAGTGGCACTATTTGAAGGTGTAGCCTTGATGGAGTGGGTGTGGCCTTGATAGAGTGGGTGTGACCTTGTTGGAGTAGGTGTGGCCTTGCTGGAGTGGGTGTGTCCTTGTGGAGTGGGTTTTAATATCCTAGTCCTAGCTGCCTGAACGCTTCCATTAGCAGCATTCAGATGAAGATGTAGAACTCTCAGCTCCTCCTGCACCATGCCAGCCTGGACGCTGCCATGCTCCTGCCTTGATGATATTAGATTGTCTCTGATCCTGTAAGCAGCCACAATGAAATGTTGTCCTTATAAGAGTTGCCTTGGTCATGGTGTCTGCTCACAGCAGTCAGACCCTGACTAAGACAGTATCTCCCGATCTATGGCACAGCAGTGGCCTAATCATAATTGCCCAGTAAGAGGTGAACCCTCAGGCACATGCCTTGGTCAAAGTACTCAGCCTCTTACAGCCTCAGAATTTGATGGGCTTATGATCGTTGATGCTTAGCTGTGGGGATATGGAAGCCCACTGCTATAGTACCTTTCTCTTGGTGGAGGTTACATCCTGGGCTCCATGTGCTAAGCATCCATTCCTACCTCTAATCCATTGGGTATATTTATAATAAAAAAACAAACAAGAAATGACAAAATTGTATACATTTAAAAACTATTTATCAAAAGTAGCTACCTACCAGGGATCGTTGACAAAATTTCCAGGCACTACTGACTAGTTGAAAGGAAGCCTATATCAATGCCACTTCATTGAAGACTGAATCCCACTGTGTGCTCTTCTCTGATCTCTTGTGAACCCTTTTCATCTGAGGGGTCTATCCCTAAAATCTATCTAACCCCGCCCCCATTTCTTTACTGTTTCCCTACACAGTTGCATCCTTACATAACATACCTGACACCAAGCAAATCTTCACGGTTTCTGACTCTGTAGGTGGAACCTTCAGGGTGCCCTCTGTTCCCATCCCAACTATCTAAACCAAAAGTGTTTCTTAATTTGGTGTTTGGAATGGTTGCATAAACCATAACAATAAGTCTTGTGGGAGGAGGGGTAAAGATTAAAATATAACAGTGATATTAACTGATATTTCATATGTGCCTAATACACAAAGCCTGAGGTACAATTTTATACAGTATTTTAAATGTTCATTTATTTGCTATTCCCGTGTGCCCGAGCATGATGTGTATGTGGTATATGTGCCGGAGTCACAGGACAACTTTTCTTCTCCCACCTCTATGTGGACTCCTGGGCTCAAATGCAGGCCTCCAAGCTTGTATGGTGAGTGACCTCAGCTGTTGGGCCCTCTTGTTTCCCTAGACAATATTTTAATAATCTCTGTATAGAACAAAGCTGAATGGCCTGGAGTTTTCCGCTTGTGGCATTGAGACAGAACTAAGAAATGTTTCAGGTTTCAGAGCAGTTTTGATTTTAGGTTTCTGGGTTTCAGATGTCCACCTTTTCCCTAATCCCTTTGACAAGCTGTCTGCGCACTCCACTCCCAGTTATGAGCATTTCCATGTAAATAAGGCCTGGTGTTCAGACGCGTGTTCGTTAAATTATGTGATATAGTGAGACACTTATATCTTACATGTCTTACTCCTGCGGTCCCTCTGCAATTTTTAAATTTCTTTTTAACAGAGCAGAAGAAAATGAAGCTGCCTTTTTATTCCATGAGGGATCTTGGAAACAGCCATTCTGAACTTCCCAATACTCTTAAAGCAGGGCTCAGTGAACCGTGCGTGCGTTTATAAAGAAGCACTTTTTTTTAAAAAAAGCATTTATTTATGTATGTGAGTACATTGTCACTCTCTTCTGACACACCAGAAGAGGGCATCAGATCCCATTATAGATGGTTGTGAGCCACCATGTGATTGCTGGGAACTGAACTCAGGACCTCGGAAGAGCAGTGGGTGCTCTTAACACCTTTCCAGGCTTTTTTTTTTTTTTTTTTTTTTGTGGTTCTTCGAGACAGGGTTTCTCTGTATAGCCCTGGCTGTCCTGGAACTCACTCTGTAGACCAGGCTGACCTCTGACTCAGAAATCTGCCTGCCTCTGCCTCCCATGTGCTGGGATTAAATGCCCGGCAATAAGAAGCACTCTTAAAGGAACTCTTAAGAAAGGCTTTCATGAGTCTTAAAGGAAGAGTTTGTTTTGTTTCCTAGGCAAAAATCTAAGAGCTCACTGGGAAATTCAATGTGATGCATTCTAAGGCCACAACCGGCAATGCCTTCTTCCTATAATCAAAGTATGATTCTGGCATTCTGGCCTGTAAGGTTGTTAATTAGGTAACACCTACCCATTTTCCATTTTCATGGCATTCTTGAGGGTTATTTTGGGTTTCTCTGTTTCAGGCCAAAAGAGTTTGGCCACAGCCAGGGCTGCCGGCGCGGACATGACTGAGGCGGTTAGCAAGTGCGTGGATGACACCTGCAGCAGCAGAAGAAGGAAGGGACTGATCCTGAGCCAGAGGCTTGGAAGAACACCATTCCCAGTGCACCCAGCCAGAGGACAAGACAGGAATTCATATCACCTGAGTACCCCCCTCGGGAGAAACACAAAGCCTAAATCTGATTATCCAGGATGAGAATTAATCCTGCATTGTAGGAACTTTCAAAGGTTTCTCAACCCCTCTTTCGGTCTCTCTGAGCATCCAGCTGGTCCCCACAACCCATTTGTCACATCCTCAGTTCAGATGTGGGTACGTAAGGTAAGAGCACGGCTCTTGTGCAGAGATGGATAGTCCCCACTCTTCCCAGCTTGGAACCCTTCCTGTCTTTACACAGCATTAACCCACCCACTGTCCAGTTACCCTGTAAACTATTTCTACCCACTACTTCTTACCTACCCTTGTGGTTGGATTATTCTGGATTTGTTTCCCTACTGTGATGGTTAATCTTGGTTGTCAACTTGATTGCAACCAAGGATCAATTAAAACCCAAGCCCAGGGTGCACCTGGGAGGGATTTTCTCGACCAGATTGTTTGAAACAGAATGGCTCACCCTGTGGACCTCAGTTTTGGTGGCAGCCCGGTTACAATAACATGAAACAAACTTGGCTTTCTGCTTGCTTGCCCTCACCCTCCCTGCTTGCCCGCACTCTCAATGGCGAGTCCACCTATCTTGCTGCTGTAGCATCTCTCCATTGGTACTACAACCTACTTCATCTGGCTTCCAGTGTAGACGGGAAACCAGCTGCTTGCCAGCAACCTTCCAGGTCCTCAATATCAGATTCGGACTGCTGAGACAGCCAGCCCCAAGAACCGAACCACTATGGCGTCCATAGCCCCTTTAGTGTAAGACAGCCATTGTTGGACTGCCTAGATTAGATTCTGTCTTAGGGAATGCTGATTATGTGTGTCCTCACCCCATTCCCATCACACCTAGCTCACTGATGAAGGTAGCATCCCTACCTGCAGTGGGGGCAGGTGGCTATCTGTGACAGCATCCCTACCTGCAGTGGGGGCAGGTTCCCCACAGTGGGGGCTACAGCATTCCCCAGCCTCATAAACTGACCACTTTTAGAACTGGCTCTGCATTAGAATTTGAGTTTGTCAAAAATATTGACGGTTAGGTCTCATTTCATGAAATTCTTGTTGAATTACTCATGGGTGTGGGCCAGAAAATTAGAACCTTTAACAAGTTTCACATGAACCCAAACAGCCTCTTTCTAGGTGGCCCTAATGAGGTTTGAGAACCACTGCTCTGGATCACAACTCCTTTCCCAAGAGTCAGGCATTAGCTTGGTTGGCTGAACTATTCAACACACACAAAACGAAAGCACAGGGTTGTCTAGTTTCCAACAAAGCCTTCCACAAAAACCCAGCAGAGTCTAAATTTGGCTCATTAGCCATAGTTTCCTGACCCTTGGCTTGGACCGTCTTTGCTCATGTCAATAATATAGGTTCTGGTTTTCCACATACACAGATTGAAGTTTTTAGGCAAAATAACCTTGTCACGGAACTTGACTGTGCTGTGGTTAGATATAATTATATGAAGGTGGCGGGAATATGGACTCAAAGCTCTCAGATTCCCTGGGGTCACTCTGTTCAAATGCCAAAGCCACAGTGGGCCACTTTTGTCATGCTCAAAAGAACAGCATGTTCTCTGTGTTACTTCCAGTCAACAAGAAGAAAGAAAAAGAAATCAGAAATAGGAAGCGGGAGATTGAATTGACTTTGACTTATATTCCAAACCTTCTTACCCCAAAAGAGATGTATGCACCCAGTACGCTTCCAGCAATGGTGGCAAAGCCAGCTGTCATGATGGTGTGGAGTTCCGACTTGGTGACGTGTGGTAGATATGGCTGCACCAACAGTGGAGACTCTGTCTGGAGACAAACAACAAGCATTACCTTTTAAATGCTTAACAGTGTGTGTTCCCTAATGGAGTTGTTAATGCGACTCTCAGACCATGTCCTGCAGACACCCGACCTCTGGAAACACAAAGTCTCCAACTGGAATCAGAAACTCTAAAAGTGTCCCGCCCCCATCTGTGCTCTGACAGCTTCCCAGTTAGTTCCAGCATCGTCTCCTTGGGGTCCCTGCACTGAGACACCAAAGCGAGCTCTGGATCGGTGTGTGTTTGTAGTCCTGGGTAAATTTGTAACGTGTGATGTTGTTCAAACAGTCCCCAACCCAGCTCTGGGCTGGATTCTATGAGAACTTCGAATGCTCTCCTGAGGGTTAGCCGAGTAACTCCACCTGGTGGTCTGGCCTTATAGACGGGATTTCCAAACTGCTGTGACTATGCATCTTCCAGGCTGACTTTGACAGACTCACACATGCTTGGTGGAAATAGAACCCACTATAGAACAAGGAATAGGAGAGGCAGCCATAGGCTCCTTCATAGTGGCCAGGGCGTAGTGGAACAGGCTTGAGTCTCATTAGGGAGGGCAGGCGGCATGAAATGTGGGGCTCTCCACCAATAATAAGAGCACTTTGGGCATATTAACTATCAGATTGAGTGCCACAGACACATGCGTGCAATCTTACAATTTTCTGCTCATTATTTCTAATTGTTCTGTGAGATTGAATGTGTTGAGCCTCAATTTATAGACTGAATGGCAGCCCAGTGTGTGAGACCTTTTACTCTGCAGGTACTGGCAATCATCTAGAGATGGTGCCTTAATTAGTCCTGAGAGATTTTATGACTATAATTATTATAATTTCAACTCCTAGGGAAGGGAACATTACCACTGTACACACCAAAGACTGCTTCAGGCTACTGAGCCAGCATTACTAAGAAGGCTCAGCCTGCCTCCAGCAGTTGTAAGCCTGGGATTTGGGGTCGTGTATTATTCTATGGTGTGAGTTTGGCTTTGAGTCCACTTTCTTTGGGCATCGTTGCTGGCAGCACTGCCCCGTGGTCTCATCGGGTGAGTCCATCTTCCCTGAAGCTATGTGTCCCTCAAGTTGTGTGGCTCATTGCATTCCTGACCCATACGTTCCTTAAGGCTGTTCCAGTTTTGAGGGGTCACATTTCTTTGCTTGCATGGACCTCAAGCAAGAAAGTATGTATCCACCCAATGGGTTAGGGAAGTGACTCAGTAACCTAAAGCTTATCTATCATGAGAAGAAAAGCATCTGAAAACGTTTCTGCAGGCTCAGGAGAGGCAGGCAGCCAGACAAGGCTGGGCGAGGCACGTGTCTGTGCCTGTAGGATTCTTTTTGTTTTGTTTGTTTTGTTTTGTTTTGTTTTTTTGAGACAGGGTTTCTCTGTGTAGTCCTGGCTGTCCTGGAACTCACTCTGTAGACCAGGCTGGCCTTGAACTCAGAAATCCACCTGCCTCTGCCTCCCAAGTGCTGGGATTAAAGGCGTGCGCCACCACCGCCCGGCGCCTGTAGGATTCTTAGTGGGTGGCTTTTCTTTGTCTCCTTCATTGTCACGGGCATTGCCGTGATGCATGTGAGGTACCCTATTCACTATCTGCAGCTTGAAGACAGTGCAGTCATTTGAGGGGAATAGCTGCTAGCCACTGCAGAGTTGACCAAAGGCCTCAATAATGGAGAGAAGGTTTCTGGAGAATGTGTTTATGAGATGCCCTGTGACTTGACAAAATAATGGTGTTCTTTCTCTGAGTTTTGAATAACTCAGTTCCATACTATCATAACCTCCCTCCCCCACCTTGTCCCCGTTTTCTGGACATGCACACACATGCTCACATGTACACATGCACATGTGCACACACATTCATGCATGTACACACATGCATGCACACATATGTGCACACAGGCATGCAAGGCACACACATGTATGCACACATATACACACATGAACACATGTGCACACATGCACGTATGTGCACACATAACCTCACATGTATGCACACACATGCACACACAGTACTAGGGATTTCTTATTTTACACTCTTCACTCTACCCTAAAGAGATAACGCATCCACAGGGACCTCGTCACCTGTTTTGGAAAGAGAGCACCCTGTCAGCAAGGGTCTTGCTTTGCTTGTTTTCTGTTATTGAAACTTACTTGCCCAATAAATATGTTGCCAGCAGCGACCACAGACTCAATGGGAGATGACCCCATAGTGACAAGCATTAGCCACCCAACCTACAAGGAAGAAAAGGACAAAGTCAGCAGAGAACCGTTTACACAGCGAAGACTTAAAGGTCAGCTAACAATCTAGTCTGTGTTAGGACGAGAGTCTCTCATGGCTGTTGTCAGGATGGTGATAGGGACAAACCTACAGGGACTTCATCCAGCCCACAGAGCTGATGGCCAAGGCTTCCTACTTGAGTCTAAGTCTGCATCATTGTATCTACACTTGAGCAAAAGAGAAGTGAGTTTCTATAGATTAAATAAAAGTAACGAATAAATCATTGCTACCACTGACAGAAAGCTTTTCTGTGGTCCAACAGCGACCATGAACAACACATCTGAATAATCCGTCTATTTTTGCCTCTTTGGAGTAAATGCTATTGCTCCCTGTATTGTAGAAGAGGCAGCTAAGGCACAGAGCGGTTACTTAAGCCTGCCTGCTCAGGAATGCTAAGATGGTCATAGTGTTTTTCCTACTTAATTCAAATGAGCATGGTTTTGGGGGGTTCCCCTTTTGTGATGGCTTTGTGGGACTAGCTGAGATCTAGGGTGGTCCCCAAATGTCTACATATTAAAGGTCTGTTCCTCAGCCTCAGTGTAATTAGGAGGTGGTGACCTTTAAGGGGTGGAATCTGAAGGGCAGTCAGAAGTTGTAGAAAGGCACCCTTGAAGAGGATCTGGGGACTGGTTTTGCTTTCTAAGCTTGTGTTTTGCCTGATGCTCCTGCCTTACTTCTATTAATGTATGATTATGCTTTTGTGTGGTTGTAGACCACGTGTATGCTTTTGTGTGGCTGTAGGTCACGTATATGGCTTTTGTGTGGCTGTAGGCCACATGTATGCTTTTGCATGGTTGTAGGCCATGTTTATGGCTTTTGTGTGGCTGTAGGCCATGTGTATGCTTTTGTGTGGCTGTAGGCCACATGTATGCTTTTGCGTGGTTGTAGGCCATGTTTATGGCTTTTGTGTGGCTGTAGGCCACGTGTATGCTTTTGTGTGGCTGTAGGCTACGTGTATGGAGGTGCCCACAGAGCCAGAAGAGGATATCAGCGGAGCTGATTTCGAGCCACTGGCCGTGAGTTCTGAACTCAAGTAGAGCAGAAAGTGTTCTTAGCAGCTGAGCCGTCTCTCTAGCCAACTTGTGCTACAATGAAGGTGAGAAGTGAATGGTTGGGGCAGCAAGAATGTGGCCAGCTTGTTTGTAAAAATATCTTACGCCCATATAACTCTCTCCAGAGCAGAAGCAACTTCTTGTTTCTATTTCCGTACTACCTGCAAAGCCTGGAGGACCTTGGGTACCCCACAGGAAGCTGTGACTACGGAGAAGTGCAGCTTCCCTGGGGAAGGCTTCTGACCTCTGTCCCCTCACTGCAGAAGTAACTTCTGCAGTTTCAAGAAGATATCTGTTGGGTTGCAAATCAAAGTCCCTTTGGAGGTTCCTGAGGTAAACTTCTTGCTATGGACACTTGCAGAATCACGGGTTGGGATCTAAGGACTTAGTTCAGGGTAGAGGAGAATCTTCATAGAGAGAGACAGGTGTGGTGTGAATGTCTAGATCAAAGGTGTTCGGACTTTGAGCCTGAACTGACTCCGCATTGTCCGCAGAGCACCTTGTATCTCGTACCTTTCTGATGACCCACTGCATCAGTCCCAGATAGTAAAGCATGGACATCACGGTGCTGAAGAAAACCACAATGGGCAGGATCTGTGGGTGGGGCACAAGCATGGTCACCGGTCAGTGCAAACAGTACTGTGAGCTTCCTGTGAGCTCCTCCCCCCACCTCCTTTCTGCCCCTAGGAACACCATTATAGAAGCAAAGACTGGACTGTCCTCCAGCTCCTGCCCCCTGGAAAGCCTTCAACTCTATTGCGTTGGTTTGAGTGTGTCTCCAGAAGTCAGTGTGGTGGATATTTAAATATCTCTCAAACGCATCGGTGGTGGTCTTTGGAAGTAGTTAAGATTAGAGGAAGTCACGAGCTGGAGAGATGGCTCAGTGGTTGAGAATACTTGCTGTTCTTGCAGAGGACCTGGGTCAGTCCCCAGCACCTACATGGCAGCTCATAATTGCCTGTGCCTCCAGTTTGATGAGATTTAAAGCTCTCTTTTGGCCTCTGTGGCTATTGCATGTGTGTGATGTATATACGTATATACAAACTCATACTCACTAAATAAGATCAATCAAGAAAAAATATTAAATGTAGTCATTGAAGTGGGCTATCCATAACAGACATTACGGGTCTCTTGTCAGAGTCCGGCCCTGCCCTACCTCACTCTTCCCCACTATTCCCTAGCCTTCTGGTCAGAGACAAGATGCCCGGACAAGTTATGCAAGATCTCATCTAGACAATGTCTCAGCATTAGGGTTCTTTTCACTTTAACAGACGGGCATAGAAAAGGAGTCTGGACTTACCTTAAATGCAAAGAAGTGGTCTGTATACTTTTCCCCGAAGACAAACATAGCTCCAGCATCAGTGTACCCCAGAAAAGTCTGAGAGAAAGAGAGAGAGAGAGAGAGAGAGAGAGAGAGAGAGAGAGAGAGCTCATTACACCGTTACCCACCATGAGCCACAGGAAGGAACTTGAGGCCCCAAAAAGAAGATGGGGAAGCACTAGCAAACTCATTAGGCAGACTTGGGAAGTTAGGAACGCCATGGGTCTCTGTTTAAACCACCCCTACAGGTAGACTTCCTGCCATTTCTGACTTCGGTCTGACTTGTACTAACTGTGGCTGTTGGCTCCCATAAGCCATAGTTGCTATACGAGGATGTCCCTAGTTACCACTAGATGCAGAGAGAGGCTCTTTCTCTGTTTGGGGGAGCCATCTCAGACGTGTGGTACCGCTTGGGCAGGATGATGGGATGGGGGATAAAGGAGTGGTCCAGTGGATGCCACAGCTAGCGGGCAGTGGCAAGCTTAACTGACTACATGGATGAACGTAGTTGACAGACGCAGCAAGCCTAATTTGTGCCGTGGGATTAAAATTAAGGTACAGTATTACAAATAAACTACCCACGTTTAAAATGTCCCGAGGGCAACATCCAAATATTAAAAGTATAAGAAAAGCAAAGAAAAAAATGTTTTTGAGTCAAGGTCTCATGAGCCTCAGGTTGTAGCCAAGGCTGAGTTTGAACTCCTGACCTTCCTGTCAGCTCACCAGCTCCCATCTGACCTGCTTACCTGAACTTGTCTCCCCATCCAATCAAAAGCAACAAATCCAGGCCTAGTCCTTAGAATTAAGAGCCCAAGAAGAAACTGTAGTCCAATTCCCCAACAGACAGGCCTCCAGTAAACCTGTGGAGAAAGATGGAAACCATAAAGTATCATGCTAACTCGAACACTGTAATGCTGCTTAAATGAGCAAAATATACAGTGATGTTGGGTGCTCGGGGGCTAAGCTTTCAGAAATTGCAACAGACCCCTATTGATTGTAGTTACCTTATTAGGAAGTTAATGGTGGCCATAGACTGCCAAGGGGACATTGCTCCCTCGGAGCATTCTTACATGTCCCTGGGGAAGCCCGAGCAGACAGCAGCAGAGAATTTTCTTCTAATTAACTAAATTTGTTCTTTGACAATTTCATACGTGTGTGATCACTCTGCTTACTCTCCCTCCCTTGCATATCTCCCTCCCAGCCCTGCCTACCCTCCTTATTCTTACAAATCTCTTTCTCAGATTTCTGCTTGTTTTGTTTCATCAACAGGGTCCTCTGTGTGTCTGAGTCTTTGGAGCTATCCGTTGGAGTCTGGTGGGTTTGGCAATGGGTGCACAGTGGAAGACAAGGACTCTGCCCCTCCCAGAATTTATCAGTAGTTGATCATAATCCAAGAGTAAGAGATAGGACCCTGTGATTATCGATTTTAGTCATGAACTTGACATATCTCTAACTATCTGGATCTTAATGAAGGGTTATCTAGACCAGGTCTAGACCTGTTGTTGCATTTGTTAGGGATTATCTTTATTACATGAAGTAGGATGATTGTGGACTGCGGGTGGCACCATTCCCTATGCAGGGGCTGTATAAGAGTGGAGAAGGGGCCGGGCAGTGGTGGCACACGCCTTTAGTCCTAGCACTTGGGAGGCAGAGACAGGCGGATTTCTGAATTCGAGGCCAGCCTGGTCTACAGAGTGAGTTCCAGGACAGCCAGGGCTATATAGAGAAACCCTGTCTCGAAAAACCAAAAAAAAAAAAAAAAAAAAGAGTGGAGAAGAAGGGAACTGAGTTCTAGACTGGGAATAACATGTCTCCATGATTCATGCTCCAACCACTTTAATTTATTCATGGCGATGGACTACACCTTGGAATCATGGACAAATGAGCCCTTTCTTCCTTAAACTGGTTTTATCAGAGTATTTTATCAAAGCATCAGGAAGTGAAACTAGACAGGCCCCATACATGTAAACTCCACACAGGGGTTGTATTCTATGTTCTCCTTCTGCTCTTCCACGGGGCTCTCTGAGCCTTAAAGGAGACGCTGTCAATGCCTGACTTAGGGCTGGGGCTCAGCCATCGCTCTTCCTCAGTACCTTGGGCAGCAGCAAATCTCTGCATTCACCATCCACACACACTCACCACAAGGAGAGACCTCAGAGAACGCTTAGATAGACCCATAATGTTAAAAACAATCAGGGCTGTGCTCACTCTTTATAAACCTGGTGGAAAAGCTGAGAAAGTAATGTAACCCAAAAGTCCTGACGAGTGACCTGGACTCAGAGAGTCGTCTCCAAAGCACCTGATCATATTGCAAATGTTACGTGTACGGTTATTTCTCCATCTGGAACGTGGGAAGGTAGAAATTGATTTTTCTGTGCTCAAAGGTTGTTTATCTGACAATTTATAAGTGAATTGGATGAAATTTGGCTCAGTTGAGGGGCTCTTGTTTCACAAATAAAGGAAGCCCATGACCTCGAGTGCAGGCCTAAGAGAGGTACTGTCATCTGTGTTTAATCTCAGAGCAGAAATGAGTGGCTAAAAACTCAGGGTTGATAGGATGGAGATGTTGATCTGAGCGGGGCAAATAATTTCCGTTGCATTAGGTCAAGTTGGTCTCTGTTGAATGCTTTTTCTGTGGGTCACCCTCTTAGCCAGAAGGGACTGCTACAGCTTGTTGTCATGATTCGCAGATAATAGCTTCAGTCTCAGAATTCATACCCATCATGGTTTGTAGGCTGATAAAATAGGGGGTGAGGGGGGAGGGAAAGAGAATTTTGATCCAAAGGGGCAAGAGTGTAACAGGGCAAATCTGAGGATGAAAAAGCCCGAATCAAAAGGGAATTATCAGAAAACACAGGAGGGCTGGAGATGCAGCTCGGCGGAAGACTTGGTTAGCGTGTGCAAAGCCCTATGTCAGTCTGCAGTGCCCCCCCCCACCCCATTAACTGCACTTGCTTAGAATCTCAGCACTTAGGAAGCAGGAGGATCAGAAGTTCGAGGTCATCCTTTAGCAAGTTTGAGACCAGCCTGGGATATATAAGTTCCTGTCTCAAAACTAAAACAGAGCAGCACTGGGTATAAAATACTAGTAACTGACCATCCGGGAATATGGGTCAAAGGAATGACCTTTCCTGTGTGTTTGTAATGGAACCCCGAGTGCACACAAGGGATGTTTTACTTGTGCAACTGGAAATCACTAGGAACAAAACAGCTCCTGGACAAGCACCCTCGCACCTTGAGGACTCGCACGAGGTGGAAATTTTACATAGTTAGATTCCTTCACAGGGACTGTTTTGAAGTCTTGACTTCCCCTCCTCCTGTGTCTAGTCTGTACTTACTCTGGTCGGATGTTTGGAAAACAGAAATAACAGGATAAGGTACATGATGAGTCCACCAAAGGATACCAAGTGCTGTTGGCCCAGCTTGGCAGTGTCGAGAGCCAGCCAGAGAATAACCGCCAGGACCAATGAGATCCAGATTACCCTGTGAGAACAGAAGGGGGGAACTGTGTCCTTTATTGTGCCAACTTGAATACTGTAACAAAGGAAAACCGACACACCCCAGAACCAGGAAGCCGTGCTTCGGACAGCTGTGGTCCCTCTTACCTCCCAACTCCCACCCTCACAAGTCCAAGGTTGCACATGAACATCAAGAGGAGAGTGGGTGTCTATACAGGGATGCCTGGCCTCTGTTTAAAGGATCTTTGAGAGATACCTCAGTCTTCCTCTGTCTTTTTTGGGATGGTATTTCCTTCACGAGAGGATATATTTCCTATAATTGGGGAACCTCAACAGAGTTAAAGCAGACTGTGGGTTCTATCTTCTCAAGTCTAGTGGACATGATAGGCTGGGTCACGGCTCTGATGGCTCAGTGTGTGTGGGTGGGGTGCTGTGTGGTGGTGCTTGGCACTATTCTGATGAACTAGACTGAAGGTGGGTGAAGTGTCCAGGGTAAACCCTGTGTTTCTCAGTGGAGAGAACCAGTCCTGTGAACTACTCAATAGGGCCATCTCTAAGGAGAGGAGAGCCCACAGTGAGAGGCCAAAGAAAAGCCCTGGGGCTGTTGTAAGATGTGGGTTCCTTCAAGGAAGAATCAGGTTCCCAGGGAGCCAGCCCCTGTTCCAAGAACAGGAAGCCCCTCCTCAAGTCAGAGCTATCCTTGCCCTCATCTTGGTACTGGCTTTAAGGCAAGTTTAGAGTCAGGACAGGTAAAGGAAAACATGGGACATTTGGTTGAGTTTTCTCTAGCCAGGGATGGATGGAACATCTCAAACTGAAACTAGACTTGTGGTCGTTGGGTCATTACCTGAGAGTAAGCAGAGAAGTCATAAGATTTTTACTTTCTTGTACAACACAGAAGATAGATATTTCCACTAAATAAAATTGAATGTGGGGAAGGAAAAAATGTCATAATTTTAATATACTGCTTACACAAAAATCTGTGTGCTTTAGCATCAGGGGGATTTTTAAGAGATCTGGGATTTTGTTTCTTTGGTTGGTTTTGTTTTTTGAGATAGAGCTTATCTCTGTACTCCTGGCTGTTCTAGAACTTACTTTGTAGTGCAGGCTGGCTTTGAACATCTGCCTACCTCTGCCTCTTGAGTGCTAGGTTAAAGGAGCACACTGTCACTGCCTGGCAAGACCAGGGTTTTCAGGGGCAAGTGGCACAGACAGAAATTAGAGGAAATGAAAATTGAATCTGAAAATGATTGAATTCATAGTCAACAAATAAATGCAAATAATGTGATACCAGTTGGCCTAACTTAACAAAAAAAAAACTTATGTCCATTGTGCATCAAAAATACACACACACACACACACACACACACACACAAAACCCAAACAAAAACAAAACTCAGCTATCATTTCATCTTGGTCTTTATTTCCTGTTTGAAAAAATATAAACAAACTACTAATAATAAATAAGCAAAATAAAACATATTCAAGATAAAATATGATCTTCATGATTTCTGTTTTGCAGATGAATTTAATGAGATTATGCATAACTATATAAAAAAGAAAAAAGTTAGAGAAAAACGCAAGCTCACACTGTCAGCAACCTTTGCTGTCTTGTAATTATGAACCAATCTTTATAAGTCAGCACTGAAACCAGATGGCATCCTGTGCTGTTCTCTACCTGGGGCAGGACAGACATCACTAACTGATAATAATCTTCCTGCACTGACAAGGTAAGAAGAGCTAAAGCCATCCCTGCATGACTAAAACACTGTGTTGTCCTATGTTCTTGTCCTATATGTAAGTATCTAAGTGTCTTTGTAACACAGATGTACAGATGAGCAGATTGTCTTTGAACTTTTACCAGCACCTGAGTTGTGACACTTGACTAATTTTTAAGTGATTCATTTTCTTATTCTGGTCTCATTTCTCATTTGTAAAATGGAGACATTATAACGAATTGCTTTTGAGGTTATTTCTAGTATCAATATCCCATAAATCAGGATGGTATTTTAGAACACATTTTTGGAACAGTGTTGGAGGGAGCCAACATCCCACCCCTGCAGTAGGTGAAAAGTGGTATTTACCATTTCAGCCAGAACCAATGCCTGTCAAGAAGCCTTCTGCCAGGAGACAGGAAATCATCTATTCGCTGCTCATATTTGGCCATCAAGTGATCCCAGATGACGAAGAAGATGATCACCAAGGTGATCACAAAAAGAGGAAGGGCTCTGTGGAAGTTTAATGCACAGGCTGCAATCACCAGGGCCAGGAAACCTGTCCAGGAGGCAAATTCAGATGCTTGTTATCACCAGACCGGTGGATCTGGGCTTCCAGCCTAGGTCTGATGGGCAAGGGGAGGTTAGTCAGGCACTAGTTGGATGCAGGGGTGCTTTGTGTGGGTACCAACTTCTCTAGCTGAGCCTTTGCTTATCTCTCAAAGTGTATGTCTTTCCCTTCCTTCCTTCCTTCCTTCCTTCCTTCCTTCCTTCCTTCCTTCCTTCCTTCCTTCCTCCCTCCCTCCCTCCCTCCCTCCC